TATTGAAAGGCAAAGTCTTCGCCCAATTGTGAGGGAAAGTGAGTGCCGGCAAACGTCAACTCCTGAGGCGTGACGTCCTTCTCGTATGGCGTCAGAGGAACTAATTTTCGGGATTTCGGACAAAACACGAGTTGATATTTGAATGTATTGTCGGCTTTAATAAAAGCGTTGACATAATCTTTGGTTATTTTCACTTTTCCATTCATTTTCAGATAACTCGGGATTTTATACAAAACAGTCCTCAGATCGGTATTTGCGGTCATTTTGAAGAACTTTTTCGCCCTCTGGAGACCAATTCCGGGCAAATTTGGCAAATAATCACAACCTTTAAGACAAACAAATAATTATTGGACAATCAAGTGGTCATATGTCGTGTCATACCTGAAAGTATAGACATGTGTCTGAATTTGCTGAAATCAAAACCACTGCCCAAACAACCGGTGATCAGCGACGCGTCCATTAGTCTTCCGGAACCGTTTGAATCCAATTTAAACAAACAAAGTCTACAGTTGTAGACAAGAAGATCCGAGTCTTCGGTGATGGCGAAGTCAGCGAATCCGTTGTTAACCATATAAGCCATCTGTGGATCCGCTTCATAGGGCGCCACAACAAAGTCAACGCCATCTTCTCGGAGGCCATTCATCAGGCATTTAATCATATGAGGCGTCACTTCCACACAACTCCTCATCAGATCCCGGGCTTTGGCTTCGTGTCCATCGGCTAAGAGTAACTCAATCTTCTGGCGTACGGAACGGCGCGCCGATCGGCGGCTTTCGTGGGTCACCTCTTTGGCGGGCAATCGTTGGCCATCGAAGATGACAATTGGTTTGATGCGGACTTCGGCCAGAAGTCGACACCTCTTGAGGACATACTTCACGTATTGGTCGGTCTCCAGACCTTCGTATAGTCGTTGAGCGCATCCATAGGACGCCCGATGTAACCATCCGTTGCCATCGATCACACAAACACTTCCCGACAGCTGATCCACGTGTACGGGTGTGGACGCCCTCTCCAACAGACCAATGAGACCCTGGATTCCCATCTGAAGATCACTGCAAACACATCCAAACTAATGATTATGTTTTGGACAACACTTTCAATACAAACACAAAAGCAATGCTTTTTGTCATTCAATTTAAATGACAACAAAAATACATACTTTTCGCGCTATTTTCCAATGAAAACCATTAATAAAGTCTCGCTATTTATGCGAGCATTGAATAAAAGGGCGTATAATAGCTGTGTATATGATATATGTGTTGAGCCCTTATTTCATATGATATTTTGATGTTTTGCCAAAAGTTTTGCAACTTTTTTATAGTGAAGTGAAAATACAATAAACAAAACGATTGTCAAATTGAATGTCCACTCAATTTGTTAATTAATGTCTTGTATTAAGTGGTGATTCGGAAGTGTTGGAAGCGCTGACCAATGGTGAAGACATACGTGAAGGTGTCATACATTGGTTTTGTGTTGAGTGTGATAGGAGTGGGCATTGGATCTACTTTTGTGCCACAACTGAAGAGAGAGAAACGAGATTTCACTATTAAGGTCTGTATTGGTGTCCAAACTCTCGCTGAAGATTATTATATCTTTAACTCAATTAATATCTAAGTATTGTTTGAATTCATTTCAGACTTCAGACAAACAATATATGGAAAGTCTGCCGAAAGACAACTATCGGAAAGCAATCGATGCGATCGTAAAGTCAGACAAACCATTCTTCGGCGGTAAACCAGCGAAGGATTAGCTAATCGTTAGATTATTGTACATATTGTCTGTTAATTAGTATAGATTTTTAATGGTTATATGAAGACTATTGATAGTATTTATGTGATGTAATATTTATAAATAAAAATACTTTTGAAAGCAAAATACCTATTGATTAGCATTTTGACGACAGAGACATGTCTTGCATTTAAATCACTTTAAAACAGTTGGCACTAAATATAGTGATAGTAATCTAAGTTTGAGTCCAGTATTTGTCTCCACTTCTGCGGAGCCAATCAAGTGATGCAATTCAAGGATATTTCAAATGAGGGACTCTTTTGCTGTTAAAGACATAATAATATAATTTGTTTTTGAAAATAATTTCATTTAAACATTTGGTTTGTCGTCTATTATACACTATAAAACAATTTTCAATACTTATTATCAATGAGTGTTTTGGCGAAACTCTTGATTAAAAATTGCGAACAAATAGTTCAGGTGTCCAGTAGTGGACAGAAGTATAAGAGAGGCAAAGATCAGGACGATATCGCCATACTTTGCAGACAAAACGGCATCGGCTGTAGTCTTGTCATCGGATTCGATGGACTTATTAAAGGTTTAATCATTTATTTATTGAAATTAATGGTAAAAATCTTACAAATATAATGTCAGACATTGGTTACGACGATGTCATTGCCTCAAAGTATACTGATGTCAGTGAAGTAATCGATGGCACAAATTGTTCAATCATTCCCGGACTCATTGATAGTCACTGTCATCCGGTAATTAATTGCAAGTGTAGAGTGAGTTTATAACCAATTTTAAAAACTAAACTCCGGATCAGGTGTTCGCCGGCGACAGAGTCTTTGAGTTTGACGCCAAGACGAGAGGCGCCTCTTATTTGGAGATCCATGAGAAAGGAGGCGGTATTTATTATACCGTTTCTCAGACACAGTCCGCACCCGAAGACCGACTTTTAGATCTACTTTTGGCCAGAATTAAAGATATGATGTCTTGTGGCACCACTTTATTGGAGTGCAAATCAGGCTATGGTTTAGATTTAGAGACCGAAACCAAAATGTTAACTGTTATCGAAAGAGCCAAACAGTTGTCACCAATGGATCTGGTGATTACATTTCTGGGCGCACATGCAGTTCCCACGTATGCCTTAACAAACCAATGAAAACAATTATAAACTAATTTATAAACTATTATTTCAGTGGAATGTCTGCTGAAGAAGGCGTTGAATCGGTTATAGAAATGATGAAAAAATTAAAGAATAATCCGAATTTGAACATTGAATTCGTGGATGTCTTCTGCGAAAAAGGTTTTAATTAAATTGATTTTCATCTCATACTGAATATAATGATAAATTAACTATCATTTGAAGGCGTTTATGACGTGAAACAAAGTGAACACATCTTGAATGCGGGCAAAGAATTGCTGAACGCTTTGCCAGCATTTCATGGCGAAGAACTCAATCATTTGGGTTCCGCAGAGATGGGCGCCAGAGTTAAGGCCCGATCTGTCAGTCATCTGGAATTCATAGGCGAAGAGGGAATAAAAGCACTTTCAAGCCATGAAATTGTGGCCATTGTTTGTCCGACAACTCTATATCTATTGANAAATTGTGGCCATTGTTTGTCCGACAACTCTATATCTATTGAAACTACAGTCGCCTCCCGTCCGCAAAATGATTGACAATAATGTGATTATAGCCGTCGGTTCTGATTTCAATCCAAACGCAATGTGTAATTAAAGTTTTTTTTATTTAAAGTTTAAAGTAGTTAAATATTAAAAATAATTTATTTTTTATCATTTAAATTGAAAGGCTATTCCCTTCCGATGGCAATGAATATAAGTGTAATAAAGTGTGGACTGACTCTCAATGAGTCGTTGACGGCCACCACTATTAATGCGGCGTTTGCTTTGAATCGATGGCAAACACACGGCTCTCTAGAGGTGGGAAAAGTTGGCGATGTGGTGGTCATCGATGCACCCGATTGGAGACATATTGTCTATGAGTTTGGAAACACCGGTAAACTTATTAAACATGTTATCAAAAGTGGAAACTTAATAAAATGAGTATTAAATTCATAATAACTTTCTTATAATTGATATGTATTGCTGTTATTTAAATTGTAAAAAACAATTATAAAATATAAGCAAATTTAATATGAATTTTAATTGGAAAAAACAATTGAAATACAATTTGGTTTATAGTAATAAAATATTGGTGAATACTATTCAAAGATATTTATTTTTGTCTATTTATCTGTTGAATACATTTTAGAAATGAAAATACTATTTATAGCTATTATTCGGCGCGTTTTGGTGGTGTCTTAAGCCA